GTTTATAGACAAATGAATTATTCAGGCTGGAAAAGATGTGAACACATTCAGAGCTCCAGGCTAACTAAATTGAGACTCGAGTCTAACATTAAGAGAAACGAAAAAAATATATATATTATATTGAACAGAATTTCTCTGTTAGAACAAAACTATATAAAATAATAATGTGTCTGAAAAACATTGGGGACGGAGTAAAAAAAAGCCTGCAGGGCAACAGAATGAAACGCGTTAAGAATTTATGCAGCTGCAGCCGGATGTTTCAGCTTTTATTTTTAATAAAACTAATAAATGACAGAATAAAATACTCAATTAGTACCGAAACAATTAACTCCTATCAAATGGGCCATCAAATGTCCAAACTAAATGTTTCTGTCAGAAAAGGCTGAAACAAACTTTTAAAACTTTTATGGAAAGAAAAAAAAAGTTACATTGAGAATAAAATTCAGGTTGAGTTTAGGTTCTTTATATTTGTTTTTTAATCTAAAATAATTAGGAATGCACCTAACGATTGGAAACCAGACAAACAAATAAGAAAATCAGAATTTTTCCATTTTTTAAATGGTCAGTTCTGAAAAAAAACAAAAACAAAAACAAAAACTGACTTTGTCTTTGGTCCTTGAACGCACCGTTTGCATTGATGTGGAAATAAGCACATGGTCGGTGTCCAGCTACGTTTATCCAGTTTTCAGACCATCTGAACTGACTAGAGTCAAATATAGACACTTTTTCTGGAATGTTTGGAGACTTTTATTAACTGCACACAATCCTCATTCAGCTGTCACTGTGTGAGCTGTGGTTGAAGCCCCCCTCCCTCGTCCTAAACCTCTGACAGTTYGACAAACACCTGCAAACAGCAGTTTATTTTCTGTCATCTCATTTTGATCCGTTTAGATTTGAAAAACTAAAAACTTCTTTACGAATGTTGTTAAATAATAATAATGTCATAAAATTAGGAATGCACGATATATCGGCAGTAACATCAGTATCGGTCCGGTAAGGAAAACTGGGCCAATGATAACGTCCGATAATGATTTTCTACTCGTTGCTGTTTGTGTTTCTGTTTTGGGAGGGGACATGGTTGGTTGAGCTGTTTCTGTTTGATGATAATGACACAATATAATTAAATAATAATAAATAAATAAATAATGTGTTCGTCAGTAAATATTGGTCATAATAGCAATGTTAATATCGGATATCGATATAGGCTGAAATATTTTCATATCGGTGCATCTCTACATAAAATAACGTATTTTACATTAAAATGTTCAGGAAAAATAAATTATGTGGAGATTATTGGTTTCTAGGCAAATAATTAAAGTCATAAATAATTTTATTAAGTTCAATTATAGTTCTAAACATTATTGAGTGCTTTTGTTTCCAACATTGATATTTATCTCCTGCAGCCTGGATCACATTGAAGTTAGATGTCATCTATCAATTTCTAGAACAAATAGTTTTTACTTGTCAACAGTTCATGTTGTCAGTGTTGAAGGTTTATTTGAAGATGTTTGTTTTTAGATGAAGGATAATCTTGAATGCGTTTGATGTTTTTTATGGGTTAGTTCATTAAAAGACCAGAATCTGTGCATCTCTACGTTAAACTATTAATAAAAAAGCTCCATTAAACTCAATCATACTGGTTCTTCTGCTTGTTTTATCTGAATTCCAGTCTTTAAAAGCTACAAAGCAGGGGACAAAGTGAGCAAATGATCCTGTTTGAACAGTGAGAACTGGTGGAAACATTTCTACTTGATCGGCAGCTTGAGAGATTAAAAAAAAACAACATTTCAGAGCTTTTCTGACTGAGCAACGTTTCAGTGAATTCACCCCAAAGTGGCTTCGAGCTGAAAGGGATTTCCATGAAGTAGACGAGGGTGGGGGCGGAGTTTTAATTCAATAGTAAATAAATAAGTGAAACGGATGAAATTTTTAATGGGATGTTGATCAGAGTCTGCACTCAGTCTTATAAATGAATTCTGTCGCCTAATTAAATAAGACTCCCTATCTGTAATGCTGCTATATTATCTGTTGTGCATCTGCCTGCAGCAGCACATCGGGGAGAATGACAACAGCGGCACAATGAATTATGAATCGATATGAGCTACAGCGCTTATTTAGCTTAATGCAGGACACCGGAGGCCGCTGAAACAGTGAAAACATTAAAACCCATTCATTCGGCGCTGCAGCTACTCCTTCAKCCTCCTGCTGCCCTGCAGCCTRGACTGGTTTCAAGTTCCCCAAACCCACCTCGGGGCGACGCATCTCTCCCTCCACTGACCAGAGGGGGGCCCGGCTCAGGCCTGCAGTGCAGAGACCTGCTGCAGATCAGATGCAGAATCTAATGTTTACTTTATTCAGGAACKCTCACAGAGCCAGGCTGCTGAACGGAAAAGCAGAAAGACGAATTTTCTGTGATGATTGGCAGCTGTCACTCAAAGAGGCGACAGAGTAGCTCGGGTCGAAACGTTTCCGCAGAGATGAAAAGAACGCAGCGAAGTTAAAAGGTTGCATTGAGGTGAAATCAACAAGGGATGAAAATATGAAAAGAAAGAGGCAGAAAGGTCACGGGAGAAAGAGGGAGACAGATATTCAAAAGGTCTCCATTCACCCGTCCCCCCCCTCCCCCCACCACAGGAGTAAATCCCCCTGAGAGCGGCGCYTGGCGTCTCACAGTTGACATTTACCGCCTGCCTTCTGTTGCTGTGATTATTTTATCCTGCAGGTGTGATAGCCAGCCTGCCGGCTCTGTGCAGCCACGCTGCTTCYGGGATGGTCCGGCAGGGAACGCAGGGGCAGAACGAGGCCCGGGCAGACCTTTGAGTTAAATACCAGGACTGAGGTGTGCTTTAAAGCTAAGGCTGAAAGCTTGCTGAACTGTGATTGGCAGCCTGTCACCTGGCCTGATTTGTAACAGCAGAGCTGAGGCTCCTGTGGATTTAGTTTTTACATGAAAAAAATAAAATGTAGCAGAGGCTTAACCCAAAACGCTGAAAATCCACACTTTTCCCACAGTAATATTCAAGGATTTTCAAGGATTTCAAGCACCTGTAAAAGATTCCACCTRACCTGTCCGTAGACGGAGGCCGATCGTTGCGAACTTTGCTGATCTGGGTGTAGAGGCTGTCGGAGTGCTGATGCTGGTGGTGGGTGTGGGGGTAATCGTCCCGGGGGCTGTGTGGCCGGCTGTGGCCGCTGTCCACGGAGCTGTTCAGGGGGTTCACGCCCGAGTACAGGTGGTCCTCCTCGGAGGACCTCTCGGGGGTACGACTAATGTCCAGAATCTCGGCGTAGTCCCGCTCCCGGGCTTGACGCTCCCTCAGCTCCCTGGTCTTGGCTTGGATCCTGAGGGGGAACATCCAGAACACATCTGAGACAAAGTTTCTCACTATTTGTATCATCGGCAAACAGTTTGACTTGGAAAAGTGTAAAAAAAAATTWAAAAAAAACGAGAGCATGCTTCATTTACGAGTTCTGCTCGTCGACACACCTGTTGTTCTTTTTTATTAAAGTCAAAATGCTGCTGGTAATTAGAGATGTGACCATAAAGACTGCATCGGATCAGTTTCTATTATAATGACCCCATTTATTATGAGACTGTTTTTGTACAATTTGTTTATTTTCAGTGGTTTTTGGTCAACCGTATCATGGAAACAGCTGCACCGATCATCATGAAATTTGGRAGGAATGTTAGATAGATGTGTCCGACCTACACTGCACCAGCCAGCGGTTTTATGATAGACCCCATATTTGAGGAGGGGGCTCCATCTGAAAAGGGGGGTGTCTGGATATACAAAAATGCTTATAACTCAAAAACTATTCATCATAAGAGCTTCAGATTATTATTTTTTTTATTGTTTAGCTTTGATGAAGGGCTATCCATCAGGCCCACCAAGGAG